TTTAGAATCCTCAACCCTGAGACGAAGATTGTCCCACATGTAACTTTGCATGGTTCAAAGAAGCAACAGCCCGCACCCCACGTCAGACTCCCAACATTTCCCAACTACGGGAAGTCCTACTTAGCCAAGAATAAGCGATCTTTTGTTCCTGGGCTTGCGCCATTCTGTTCTTCCCTTATGGGACAAAATCCCAACGAGCAAGCTGCGAGGCCCTGAATATCTTTAAGGACTTCAATGCTCCTAGAGGATTCGGGATCTCAAGCAGAATCCGTCGGCAACCCTCAGCCCCAAAAAACGCAAGTTGAGCCCTTAAAGAATCTAGAAACCCTCGAAACCCTACAAGCTCTTGGGGCGTTGAGTCGATTCAGGGGCCGGGCGCAGGCTTTTGGGGCTTGAGACGGTGAAGCTGAGCACTGCTCACAATCTCCCAGCGTACATGTCTATATCTATGACTACTACTCTTGTTACCATGATGCAAGAGAGGCTTGTAAAGTTTACGTCACGGATCGACTTCAGAGCCTCAAGACCCCAGAGCCCCAAACTCATGCATCTTTCTGCATGTGTGTTGTGCTGGCAGACTCGGAATCCGACGGGCCTCAGCCACGGACGACACTCCCGGACATTGCGAAGAATCAGGCTGGCCGGCTATAGAGGGCTTCTGGGGCAGGTCTCTTGGGCTGCCAGGGGAATTAGGGTGAAGTAGGCTGTGGTGAGGAGACATGCTGCAAAAAGAGGGTAGGGCTCTGTGCCCGAAGGCGCCGGGAAGGCCCCAAATAACATGCGAGGGGAAGCCTAGGCACGGAGAGCTGGAGAACTTCGCCCGGGGTTGAGGAAAAAGACCCCTTCCCAAAATTGCCCTTCCCAGAATTTCTGCTGAGGTTGCTGCGTCGCTTTGGGGGCCCTCTGGAGGCGATGTCTAGACATGGTTTTGCGGTTATGACTACCTGATATCTTCGGGTAATCGAGTTGGGTGGCTTTGGGGATTGAGTGGGTATGTGACCCAAGGTTCCCTAATACTCCACACTACTCCCTGCAGCTCCCTAAGGTTTTTTAGGGACCTACCCCCTATGAACCACTCCCTTAAGAACCTAAAAGTACCTATAAGTTGAGGAAGGAATCGGCAGAGGGAGCTCGGGAGGAAAGAGGAAACCAATGGAGGGATGAGGTTTCACGAACGTTTGGCCCCCTTTGGCTTGGTCCACTGCTTCCGACAAGCTTTGGGGGCATCAGCTGGGAGTTGGGGATCCGGTTGAGCCACTTGGGCCCACCTAGAAAGTGATGCTAGCACAGGGTTTGAGTCAGCCACTGTGGTTCAGGAGTCGTAGGGTCTGGGGCTTGGGCGATGAGCGTCATGTCAAAGATTGCGATGATTTGAGCATCTCCGAAAGAGAGAGGGAAAAAGGGGGAGGGGGGGGGGGGGGTGGCTGTGCAGAGAGCTGCTAAGCTTCACGATACTTACGCCCTTTGTTCGTAATGTACAAAGTGAAGAACCGGAAGTAGAGGGATCCTGGGCTGAGAAATAAAGGAGTACAGGAGCTTAGCCTTGGGCGAAGGGATGGAAGAGCCATGATCCGTAAATCCTTATCAGCCCTGGAGGATAAACCCCAGCTCTCCTTTGCCAGGCAAGGCCGCAAAAATCTTCGACCGTGCCTCTGCAAATGGATTTCAGGGTTGGTAGCGGGGCTTTGCGAAGGGTAGTTACATGGCCCCTTAATACTGCACGGATCGTTTTCAAGGTTTCTATAGTACCTACCTTAAGGGCTTTTGCGTTGCACCTTTGCGGACCATGAAGCAACTCAAGGACTAGTCAGCCTTGTTCGTCAGTCCTCTGCCCTCATAGCCGTCACTCCAAACTCCTAGAGCCCGCATTGCAGGACCTGATTCTTCAGCACCTTCTATGTAACTATTACTCGCACCAGCTTCACGTGCCATTGCAAATTGTCGGGTGCTGCATTACACCCAGGATCCCCTGCAGGCTAGCTGTAACTCTAAACCTAAGCCAATCTTGAATTCTCGAGCTGTGCAGATGAAGGTGGGTTCCTATGTTTGCCACATCTTACGAAGCAGGGTTTCTTTAGGGGACCATCTTTGTTGTAAGAGATCTAGCTGCAAGAAGTGTCTAATTCTGAAGAGCATTGAAGAGCCCCACATCGCCTCTCCATGTTGCGTTTGTAGCTGAAGCTCGCAGCCCTGCCGCCCCGGCTGTTTAGGGTCACATATAGGGATCAGAGTTAAGTGAGAAGGGGGTTGCATAAGTAGGACGTACTGTAGTCTGTACATCATTTACCTCTTCGGAGCACAGAGCACGGAACCTTCAAAGGAGCACCTCCCAAAGATAATGGTACAGCTCAACTCTGAGGCCTTACCTAGGTTTAGTGTCAATGGTGCTGAATAACAAGTGAAGAGATGGGGTGAGAGGGGCCAAGAGTTTCGGGCGTAGAGTTCGCAAAGGATGTTTCTAGCGAGGCTTGATGGCGCCGGTCCGGCAGAAAACCGACGCGATCGCAGCACCTTGACACATCGCGGATGCTACACGAACCCCTCCCAAGGTGTGCCCTAAACGACTCTAGATTCTAAACCGTTTAGGGCGAAAAGGGCTTAGCATAGATGCTAGATGTCGACATCTCGTATGTCTGGCCTGCACCCCATGTACCTTGCAGTTTACGAATCGAGTTTCTTCCTGGCGATGCTATGTTGCGCACTTTCCTGATCTCTGCCATATTAGGGATTCCCCAAACCCGATTTGGGAGCATGTCCTGAAACAGGCATTCGCAACCCAAGAACGGGAACCATGTGGGGGGTATCCGTTCCCCTTAGGAAATCTTCCAGCTCTCCCCCCACAAGGATCCACAAGGCAGTCTGATGCGGGTCGGAAAACCCCATCCATGCCCACCCTGAAGTGCGAAGAACGGCAGCCCAAGCTCACGACGCCCTCCACCCACCCCTCAAAAGCCTTCTGCAATCTCCTCGGAGCCATCATAGGACTTTCACTTCCGAGCCGGGGCGCCACCGCGAGTGCCGCGTCCCGAGCCCCAGCCGCTGCCCGTTGTGCCGGTCGAGCCCGAAAGGAGCTGCCAGGGTGTTTCTGAAACTAAAGGGAAGTGGGTTCTGGCAAAAGTGGCGGGGGTGTCTAGCAGAGATATGGGAATTGTTTTTTGGGCTGTCCAAGCACAGGTATCCACTCCACCCCTGTTTAAGAGCAGCAAGGGGTGTTCTGTGTAAACATTCAGCTTCAGGCTTTTCCGAGCCTTGTTCGGGTGGACGTCGTTTTTTTTGTTATTTCTATGATTATTGTTACTTAGCATTGTTTCAGCAACTTCAGTTCTCGTGCGGGTAGTGATGAGGCTCGGCTGTGTTTGCTGCCTGGTGACTTGCCTGTCGGGTCCCCGCCACTCTTCAAGCTTAGGGTTTAGGCTTTCGGGTTTAGGGTTTAGGGAAGCCTAATCATTCATGTGGAGCGGAGAAGCTGAGGCGCGTGAGCTGATGCTTTTATCGTCATCATAGTAGCTGCACCTGACGAAACATATCCTCATAACTCCAAGCAGAAGACGTAGTATTAACTAGCAAGAATATCAACTCTCATTTTGAAATTCTTGTCCAGTGTTAAAACCTAAAACCCTGAAAGCTTCTGCCAGGGTTACGTGCGCAATAGCCATTCACAGTCCACACCAGCAACAGGGTTGGTCGCCGCTCAAATGTGGTCAGGAAGACCAGCTCCCGCCACTGGGTGGCCAAGACGGCCCGCCCTCGGCTGGCGCTGCGCCGACTCCAGGCGACATGTTTGCACAGAGGGCTTTTAGGCGGGGCTTGGGGTTGAAGGATTGAGAAGGCTGAGGGATGTGCAGCGGCTTGAGAACGTTCCAGGATGTTGGAGGGTTTCGCGTTTAGGCTCCCATGTGGGCTGCACAAGGGCCTTGTAGCGAAGGGGACAAGGTGTTGCCTCTCCTTGCAGCCAGCAAGAACATGCAGCTTGCACGGTCGGAGTACAAGGTAGCAGGAGCAAAGCTTGCATGACCTCAGCGTCGCAGAAGAACTCGGACTCCCTAACCTTCGCGAAAGCAGCTGATGTAACTCAAAGGTCGCCCAGCTCACGGACAAAGAGGACGGCTGGAAGTGATTGGACACACAGGTTGTTTTGGTTGCGGAGAGAATGCAAGAAGCTGCTGCATGTGAAAATAAGACCCCCTTCACAAATTTTTATTGCGAGGGCTTGGGCACTGAATGGGGAGGAATCTGAAGGAATCCGATTGAAGGGCACCTAGCAGATAAGCATGCAACATGCCCACTGTCCCTTGCAGAGCTGACATTGATTCACTCCACGAGAGTTGCGCCAGTATGGAGCCACATGCAAGCAAAACAAACGATTGAGTCCGGACTCTAGAAGTATGCATGCAGTCTCAGAACCTCCTTCAATTCCTTCCGTGGCTGTGATGCCTCAAACGACCTTCTTCCACGGCCCTAATCCAACGCGACCCTAAAATATCCCGGACAGGTCGTAAAGCAGCGACCACGGGCAGGCAGCACCGCTGCAGAGGCCGAGTCTGCAGACGGTTCATCCCTCTTTATCAGCGGTCTGGTTTTGGGCTTGCGCGTGGGAGCTCGGCCCAAACAGGGCCCTGAGCTTTTCAGCAGTGAAATCGCAAACTCGAAGCATTCCTGGAATAATAGTCATAATTCATAAACGCAATAGTAACAACAACACCTCGGTCGCCAAAGCTGCTTTGTGGTCTAGGGTTTTGGGTTTGCTTTGGGGTCTGGTGGTCTGTGGCGTCACCCAATGGATTCATGTTCACGGAGGGTGGTCCGATGGTGTCGGTCCACATGCTGACACCCTTGTTTTTCACATTCCCTTGGCCCTTGGATTTCATTCGAAAGGCCACAGACCAGGCACATGCAACCGAGGGATGAAACTGTAGATGCCTTGCTCTTTGATTGACGGATGATGCTTACAGCGGCCCCTCCTGGATTGCGGCCCTACTACATCGGTCAGAAATAGTCAGATGTCCAAACTTGAGGCAGCCTTCATTCAGGAGGTGCTGGGCGTAGATCGCACGATCGTGCGAGGGGACGATATCAGCGCCGAGCTGGCAGGAGCTAACAGTCAGGGTTCGGGGTTTCGCTCGCGCCCCAAACCCTAAACCTAAACCTTAACCCCTGACAGCACCCCGAATTTCGTTTCTAAGATCCTGCGAGGACGCGTCGAAGAGCTCGGGGAGCTGGCCAAGCATCGCTGGGACTGTCGGCTACTTGGGCCGCAGGGACCCGGCCTTGCGTCTCTTCACAGTCGAGTAAGCAACCTTTGGGTTCTTGGGTTGGCTTTCGATAGGATTCTCTGGAAAACTGGACCAGGGGTTAGACCCCATTGGTTAAAGGTTCAAATAAGCGGCTAGAACTGAGGGCTTCCAGGATTTCGGGCGCAAAGGCGGACAGGGGTCCAGGGTGCTTTGTTAGAGGTGTCAGCATCCAGCCCGAAGCCTCAAGAATCCCTAAGAACTTTCCTGAGTCCCAAGGATGCATGCCACTCAGACCAGCCGAAGGAAGGCGGTGCAGTGGCGTGCCCAGCAGATGCCCGGACATGAGAACTTTGTTTTTTGTTTTTTCGGTTGGTCCGTTGGGTTTAGTCGAGGCTAGGGCAAGGAGGGCCTGAGGATCTTTTGGGCAGTTCTAGCTGGAAGTGCACGCGAGGCTTGTTGAAGGTGGTGTCCGGTGCTCTGAGCGATCTTCCATGCTCGTAGCTTCTGCCTTGGCAATTTGAGTACGCATGATTAATAAGCGATCAAAAAAGAGGTACCCCCAAAGAGAACTTCAGTTGGTGGGCAAGGCCTGGCGACTTCCGAGGCTCCTTGTGTTGACGCTAGAACAGCATGGGACTGGTTCCTCCCCACTCCCCAAACATCTAGATGCCGTTTGAACATCCTTTTGCTCCCTCCGGCAGGGCCCGAAGCCTGACCCCGCAGGCAAGACATGGCATACACGCAGCAGGGCCGTCGCGACCACCACATTGCTTTGAAGCCACACCCGGCCCTTCCGACAAAGCCATCGTGCTCGAAATTTGCAAGCATTTCTCACCTGAGGATCCAAAGGGAGACCTTGTTCCGAACTCGCTGCCGCGCCTCCATCATCGTGCACAAGAGCCCCGAGACTCGCCATCATGACGGCGCAGGCAGGATGTGTGTGCGTGGGGGGGGAGGGGGAGGGGGAGTAATGTTAGTTTTGGTACCCCGTGTGTCCCCTTCCCCCGCCTCCCCGCCCTTCCCCCGCCGGCCTTCAACCCTCCCGGGGCTTTTGGCGGTGGGTCAAAACAGGGGTGGCAATTGGGTCTGGGGGTTTGTGGGAGGGTCTGTTGTCAAGAAGGGTCTGCTTTGGCTTGCTTTCAAGGGCTTTGGGCACTCTGGGCGGCTCTCTGCAGCTCTTTGGGCTTTGTTTTCGAGCCCCCCGCGGACAAGGATTCAAGTAAGGAAGCTGCTGCGTTGAGATCCCTGGCAGCTTCGCACCGAAAGGTAAGCGCAGGCAAGCCCTGCAGGTGTAGAACTGCAGAACCCTAACCCCTAAATGCTTAGGGGTCAGGGTGTTTAGTTTATAAGTTTTAGCAGTCCTGGGTCCACAAGAAGGGTTTATGGTTTAGGGGTACGACAACCCCCCGGGAGTTGCAGAAACAAGCGATCCCGGGCAGCTCAGGGGTCCCTCCTTATACCCCTTAAGTGTAGGCCTATGATTGGTATGGTATACCAGTATAGCAGACAGCCTAGAGAGGCATGCCGGCGATGGAGAAGCAGCTCAGCAACAGATCGCGGCCTACGAGCTCACAGCTTCTTGGTGGACGTGTGGAGATGTGGACTGTGGAGTCCTTCCAAGAGGCCCATACAATCCATGACAGTTCATTGTGCTGAGTGCCCAGCACAGTCCAGAATTCCGGCGAGTTCTTAAATCTTGGGTGGCTTAAGGCCGAGGGCAGCTATACTGTCAGCTGACAGGACGCCCTGCTTCCATAAGTTTACGTGCTGGGGACACTCAGGCCGCTCATCATGAAGGGCATCTCCTGCGACACTGGGATTCTGAATGTCACCTTCTGCCCACTGATGGAGGAGAACCTGTCCGAGGAGAAGGACGAGGCGCGGGCGGTTCAAGAGCGGAGGTGACCGAAACCACAATGCCAAACAAACGGTTCCCATCCCAAAACGGAGAACGCATCGCTCCACGCAAAGCTAAAGTAAGAAGTGAACCGCAATACCAAAAACAACGGATTCTCTCAAACCATATCAACCCTAAGCCACGAAGGAAGTACCACTGCCGACCGAGACCTTTCGCAGCCTTTCTTGCCATGAGTGAGAATGAATGTCGAAACAAGGCTCTCAAACCAAGCGTGGTTGAGCTGCAGAGTAGAACCTTGTTGAACCCAGAAATCCAAAACGCCTTCGAAGTCCTTCGCAAGGAGATTTGGGCTTGGGAGCCAAGTGCCTCGGTTCTTGCGAGGTTCTTTGGAGCTGTGGCTGCGTTTCCAGGTGGCCGTAGTTTTTGTGTTTAGGGCTCTGTAAAAAGAATGGTCCTAAGCCCGAAACCACAAAAGCTTAGAGACTCCGTGCGATGCCGGACGGTCCAAATTGTCTGCAGAACTTGAAGTTGCAGAGTCTATAGACAGGGAGAGGGCATGACGTGGAGTTTGCGGTGCGGTGGACCAGCGTTCCTGAGCCCTTTCCGATTTTGGCCTTGCGGCTTATGATGAGTCCGGGTGGTTGAGGTTGGTGGGGTTCTGGACCGTCCACGGAAGAACTGGTGCAGCCCGTTCAGGTGTAATTCTAGCAGCGCTTCTTGCAGGGCCGCAAGATGTGCGGCCGGCACGCCCAATGGTGTGCAGCCCTTTGCAACAGAACCGGCCCTCAGGCCCCACCCCCTTGGTGGACCTCTCTGCAGCCGAGACAGAGTCTTGACTTGCAAAGTTTGCGGGTTTCGGACACCAACCTGGGATGTGATGACGGCAGTTTCCCATGAATTGCCCCGTCCCCCGGACACTAGCACAGCGGCCATGTAGAGCCGAAAAAAGCACGGAGGGGCATCACTTCCCTCCCCCTTCGCCACCTTGCCATCAGTTGTGGATAGACATGTTTAGTAACTTCGAGCACCAAGGAGAGCAAACCCAGCCACTCGGACGCAACAGCTTATGTCCACTTGGCGGGACGGGGGTTGAAAGACGAAGACCGACAACCAGCCCCAGCATTGACTAGGATGAGTCCACCAATTCCCGAATATTGAAAACCCCAAAAAAGCTTATGGCCCCTTATCCCTGTATGGATGCATCTGTATCCCTATCCCAACCCATAAATTCAAGCCCTACTGGGCCTCGACCACATCCGAATCTCGAAGCAGGCCTCCACAGGCAAACTTTGTCGAAGGTCCTTCTGAGGCTCAGCTCATGACCCCGTGCACACCCACATCCACCCACCCGCCCACCCAGCCCTGCCCCCCTCCTGTCCCCTCCTTTACACCCATCCACCCGCACGGAGGCCTGCTGCGAACTGGCTCCTCCAAGCGCTCCCTTGAGAACATTTCTTTCGCCCTTCGGCAGTCAAGCCTTGAACATCGCGTGATCGAGTTGCATGTATGTATAGGTGTACATAAACATAACTACAAATGCATTAGATTATTCTGCCGCATATTCTTTGCCGTTTGAAGCTTATCAAAAGCAAGGGCCCGACCCAGGGAGGTTCTTGCCAGCGGGACATCGTAGGCGGGCTGATGGAACTCAACTGCTGCCGTGATGGTTCAGGCTGCGCTTCAAGCATCGTTTCAAGTAGAGCTCCTGTTTGTGGGGTCTCGGATTTGAGGGATTGGGGTTTTTGAGCGTCGAGGCCTCTGTCTACTTATAGTTCCTTCACTTATAGTTCCTTCACGAGCAGCAAAAGTCCGAGTGGCTTGTGGCTGCATGTCCTGTTCAACTCAGAAGTGAAGACAGCCGCAACATGGCGAAGCAATGTCGTACTGTCTGAAACCCTAATCTTGATTGCTGTTCTTCCGATTTCTTCAGCCTTCTACAACCCTAACCCCGAAGCCGTGAACCGAGGATTTGGAAATCGACCTCGAAGACAAGACCGGATTTGGGTGCAGTGAAGGGCTAAACTGGGACTCGGGTTGTGGCGTCGGGGGGATGGACTCTGTGATGCTTAAGATTACCATTACAATTTTTACTATGACTACTACGATCCCTATAACCAATACTATTATCATGATTTTTGGATGTTTGGTTAGGGAAAGGGCGTTGCCATCCACAGGGAGTTTTCCGAGTTTTCAAGAAGAGCGAGCGCCAGGGATCGGAAGACCCCTGTTTACATACTTCTAGAGGTGGGCTATCTTGTCGCATGCCCGTGTGTTTGTTAGCGTCCGTGTCTGATGTGTATCGGTCCGTCTGTCTTGGTGGGTGTGTGTGTGTGTGATGGTGTGTTTGGTTGGTTGCTTGGTTTTTGCTTATTTGTTTGTTTGGTGAGTTTGTGTTCAAGTGTGTGTGTTTGCATGCATGGGTGAGGTTTGGATTCGGGACGCGAGCCGAGTTTTGTCGGCAGCGCTCTCATTGCCCTCCAGCTCGCAACTTCCACGGCCCTCGAACAGGCCCGAAGCCTTACAATAAAACCTTCCAATAAGCAAGAAACCTTCGCCCTGCAACTTTGGGGTGGACGCACCTATGCGGCTGGCCTTAAACCAGATACTCTGAGTGAACCGATCTTTCGATCACAGTACGAAGAGTCCTCTTGGCGTCTAAGCGGTGCACATGTCTCCAACCCAAATCCAACCCAAGCCGCCCGGCTTGGAGGGCTCGGAGCGTCGAACTCCGGATCTCCCGGAGCAGGGGAAATGGCGGGAGGGTGCGCCCCAGGGCGTCCACTCACTCACTCAGAAAGGGCCGAAGATGTGCAAAGATCCAAAAGGTTTTGCAGGAAGCCCGGAGACATGATACAGCACTGAGGGGACTCCTGGGGTGATTCCCTTGGAGTGTTTCGTTTTTGGGTGGAGGCATTTTGCGCGATTTGTCGCATGCACATCCACAAAGGCCACAGCAAGCACGAACACTGCGATAGCTAACTCCCAAGTCCTGCAGACTTCTTTTGGGGCTTCCCTGAATCCTCCACGCCCTGCGAGGAAGGAGGAGAAGAAGGTTTCGCCCAAGCTCCTGGTAAACACTGCCGCAGGCCCAAAGAGCCTGGAGGGGCAGTTCAGGGTTGGGGATTGTCGGGTCATTCCTGGCGATAGGTTTCAAGGGCTTAATCGTTTTTAAAGAGCTTTATGGTTTAGAGGGTCTGGGCTTATAAGCCTTTGTAGGGCTTCTGCATAGGCTTCCGGGTTCATAGGTGGTCTCTTCGGAGTTTAGATCAGAGGATGCCAGGAGCTTATACGCTTAGGGCTCTAGTTCTCAACCGATGCCAGCTTTGTCTTTGCCACCTACGAAACCCGACGTCAGGCGAGCTTCTCTCTCAAAATCGCAAGAAGCGACGCGAGCTGAACAAACGGCTCCTTGGCAGTCCGCATCAAGACTGCTCTGGTTTGGCTTTGGGTCATTTTTTTTCGAGCGGGTCGTTTCTGGGTAAACACAAGACCCCCCGCCCCCCCGGGTAAGCTGCAAAACCCAAGCCACACGAGCCCAAGTGCCAAACGAAGGCTCCGCGAGGTGCGCCGGAAGTACAAGGCAGGATGGGTCACCGGGTGTTCAGGGTTCTCAAGCTCTCTCTCTCTCTCTCTCTCTCTCTCTCTCTCTCTCTCTCTCTCTCGCTCACTCTATGCCAATGTAAGCCCTCCGCCCTGTGAATGCCATATTATATGTGATGTGTTTTTTGCCTCAGGTCGAAATCCGAAAGCGAGTCAACTCTGAAAATCTCCGGACTATCAGTCAGGAAGCTGCGTAGGGCCGACGCTTCTGTTTGGAATGGAGATAGAGACGGCGAGCCGGCCGCCAGCATGCGCTTTGAGCTTGCAGATACGCAACTCAGGGCGAGAGGTTGCGGAAACAACGGGGCTGGTCCAGGATATGGAGAGTAAGAAGGCTTTACGCTTTACGGCGTCGGAGGCATAGCGAAGCACCTGCGAGAGCTTGAAACCCCGAATTGCCCCGAATGGCAGGAGAAGGTGAAAGAGGCCACTCATGAGGATGAGAGGCCAGAGAGGAGCAGCCAAAGCCTCTCGGCCCTGAGATTTCGGAGCTTTGGGGGTGCAGACTTTGGGGCCCCCGATGTTTTCCTGAAATAGAGGAAGCTTTGGACTGAGGCATCGCCGGGGAGTTGAAGGAGGGCATGCCGACCTCCAGCAAGGCCTACCTGTCTCATGTTTCTCCCACAGACGACGCTCAGCTTCTTAGTGTGTTCTAGTTCTAGAGGAGTGGGATGAGGGGTGGAGTTCGGGTGCGCAGCCCGAGCTGCGCACGGAGGCAGGCGCACAAGTCATGAGGTGGCAAGGTGTACTCCTCGCCCGCCCGAGCTCCCTGCCCTGAACTTCTAAGCTCTTCTGAGGGGCCTTAAAACGTACGCAATTGGGAGCCGATGAGATTTCTTGGCAGTCTCTGAGGAGAAGACTTACCGCGATGTGCTGCGGTGGTTTACGGACACTGACGCCATCGATCAGTCGGACTTACGCCGTTTCTTAGAGCCTCACGGTCGCTGTGAGTCGCTGTTGGAGAACGCTTTCCGTAGGCACATGCAGGGTCTGGGGATGTCCAGGGTGAGCAGAGGACTCACGCCTTGTTGTTGTTTTCCCCCACACACCCTCCATGTTCAACCACACCTGACCCTGAGTTCTTCCATGCCTCAGGTCTGTTGGGTTCAAGCCCAGGAACAAGCCGGAGAGAGAGGTCATGAACAACTTGCTCCTCGGTCTTTTGAGGTCAAGAAGCTTTAAGCGCGTTTGGGGGATGTAGGCTTGTTACAGACACCTGGGTCCCACGGCACGGGGTTTCTCAACGAAATGATGCGGAACCTTTTTGTCAAGGCCGGGCCTGGGGCAAAACCCCACTCCAAGCAGAAAGCAGAGGGGCCGGTGGCACCCACGACAGAGAGCGCTTTCTGCCAAGGAACACAAAAGTGGCAGAAATTTCGAAAGATCTTAAGGCGTTGAGCAAAGAGTTGCATCTCAATAACCCTGCCCCCCCCCCCCCCCTTTTCCCTGCACCCCACACAAAGGCATGCCAAATCTGTTCGTGTCCCTTGCCTTCGGCTGTTGCTACTTCGTCTTTAGAGTGGTGACCTGCAAGTGGCCCTTGGCGAGGGAGATGTGACTCCTAGCAGGGCCTGAAGTCGCAATGCATCCAGGTATGCTTGCCGGTCTCCACTCCCGCATCCATCAACCGCTCCTCACACCCTGGACAGCCCGAGGTTGCGCAATCTGGACAGCCTGGACATCGGCTTCGATGTTCTCTTCGGGGCGACTTGGTGTTAATCGCAGTGCCTGCTCGTAAGCCTGGTGAACCGACGAGCCCCAGAAGCCCTAGTACCCTGACCCCTCAGCTCCTCCACTGAAAATGATACTCGCCTAACCCCCATGAACCCATATTCTAGCAAGCATCACCCCAGAGCAGGAGATCATCCCAGCTGTGCGCTTGGGCTTTGCAGAGATTCGGTCCCAGGACTTGGCGCAAGCCCCAGCTCAAGTTGAAAAAGGGTTTGAGCCTATACTTGTAAGTGCATACAGTAAGTCTAACGCAGGGTTTTCTGCCGGGGGTCATTGTGGAAGCTCTCAGTATTCCTCGTTTACCGGGGAACCTAGCCCTTAGCATCCATAATTCTTGCATAGCTAAAACCCAAGGGAATGAATACTCATACTTTGTAAACGATACGGACCCAAGAAGAGGACAGTGCGGGTGGAGGCAGGCAGTCTTCCGGTTTCAGGGTTGAGGGTCCCGGAGGCCATGAGAAAACCACTATGCAGTGATTCTTTACTTGACATCGACCTCTCTTGTTGCAGCAACCCAGCCCCACCCGATTTCCACACTCAACAAGACAAACGGGCCGGATGTAGCTGTGCAGAGCAGTCAAACCTCGGCGATCCCCCAGGTGAAGCGTTTCCATGAGGCTGACGTGGACAAGAGCGGCGTGCTCTCCCTGATCGAATTCCTCCAGCTCCTTGGGCTTCGCGTGTACGTATACTGCAAAGGGCTCAGTTACTTACTCGTCCCTAAGCACCACCAAAGAAAACCAACATAGGTTCCCTTGCAACCGCCCCCTCCATCCCACCCCCCCTCCCCCCGCCCCCGTCCGCCCCTTGGCGGGGCGGGGCTGGCATCGTGCATCGTGTCCGGGTCCCTCCCGCAGTCCCGCTGCTCAGGATCCTGCGCTGGTCGGGATTCTTCCCTCGGCTCCACCTTGTTGTCCAGGCAGTCCTCGAGGCCGGGCTCGGCAGCAGCTGAAGCCCTGGGCAGAAGGCAGCAGCAGCCCTGCCATTCCCTGCTCCTAATCCCACATTCACCCAAGAATCCCAAGAATTCTGCAGGTGATCCCAGAGGTCGCCGAGATGCACCAAGGCCTTTCTCCACAGGCACTTTTGGAGAAGGCGCCTCGATCGCTGCAAGAATGGTTTTGGGAGGTTCGTGCTGCAGCGTGGGCTAATGGTTTCGGGCTCGGCTAGTGCTGTTTGGTGGGTCGTGGGTTCAAAGTGCCCCGTGCCAAAACGTGTAAGTAAGCCCTTGGACGCTCGTTGTAAGATCTCTAGGGGTTTACTGAAGAGGGTAATCCTGTGTGCAGGTGTCCAACTTGCAATGCCATGCATGGCTCATGAAGCCTCTGCCGTCAGGTTGCACTCCGTGTCTCTCAAAGAGTTTTTGTCAGAACTTCCGCGCTGACGCACCCAAGCTCGGATGCAAAAAGGGTTTGCTGCACACCTGTTGTGACCAAGGATGTCATTATGCCGAAGGAGTTCCACATCCTCGCCCCCCTCTTAGAGGCACAGAACAACTTCAAATCTTCCATCCTGTCTCTTTATGGGTTTTGGCGAGGCAGTTGACAGTTGCTGCGATTCTCCGTGCAAACTGCCTGCAATGGTCTCGTGATTGCATGCTGGTCTATGTTCTTTGCAACGTAAACCTGCCAACCTATGGAAGCCTGGCGCTTGCTTGTGCGATTGTTTTTGGTTTTCAAGGCATCCCAGGGGTTCTGTGCCAAACATGGGGACCGGGTCCTACGAAGCCTCAACCTTCCAAGCTCTGCAAAGTGTCTGGAGGAGCGAGCGGAGTGCGACTCTGTTCAGCGTCGTGTCGAGATATCCGCCCCATGGCAAAACCAGTGGACGATTTCTTTGGACAGGCATCGAAAGCTATGACGTCGGCTCTTACCCAGCCTCACATCCCCAGAACAACTCAAGCGCAAAAAGGTGCCTGAATACTGGAAAAAGCCCCTGTAGAAGTCGTCCTTCGATCAGCATAAGGGCACAAAATTGCCCAACGACTTGTTTGAGCAAGGCAGGGCCTGACAATTCGTCACTACCCTTTCGCTTACGAAGGACAGCATGGACCTCGACGAAGAAACGCAGAAGCTTTGGGGAGCAGCTTGGCCGAAAGCGAGGAGGGTAGGCAGGCCACCAGCTTTCCCCTCGTTTGCTTTTTTGGGGGGAGATTCCAGGTTTTGCCCATTTCACCAACAAAAGGTGCACTTCCTAAAGAGGGTTGCTGAGGAGTCCATTAAACATCCTCCTTGAGCCGCTCCGTTGCTTCTGCGATTTTGTCAGTCGAGCCTGGTCGACCTACACGACGTCTTCCTGCGCCGCGCGAAGCAGGAGCTCTCTGCAGGGCATGGAGAGGGTTTAAGGTTTCAGGGTTTATAAGGGGTTCCGGCTCTGGCATTTAAGGTCCAGTTTGGGCTCCATACAGGGGTTTCCGGTAACCCGTTCGTCTTGGGGGGGGGGGGTTCGTTGTCCAGGGTATTAGGCTTTTTTCAGTATCATATATGGGGTAGCTCGGTTTGGGGGACATGCCCATATCTTGAAGTTCTCAACTGTTTGGTGGCCACAAGACAGGCTGACAGGTTTGGAGGCATAGTTGCCCCCAGCCCTCGAAGCCCTGGAGAGGCTTTGTGTTAATTCATTTTTTTTTGCATCTGCTATTCCTGCGTTGAATTTCTTAGCAGCTTTTTGCTTTCATGCAACGATCTTGGTGCTTCAGTGACGCCGTTCAGTAAACGCACGGACGCACCTGAGCTCCCACATGGAAGCATAAAAATCTAAGCTTGACGGCGGAGTCCGAGTTCCTATATGTATATATGTATATATATATATGTGTGTGTGTGTTTATTTACTCATTCATTTTACATTAAATCATCTGGCATATATGTATATGTAGCCGGGCTTGCACAACTTGACCAACTGGTGCCAGGACCTTCTTCCCTACACGTCTCTGCACCACTTGGCCTTCGCCGCTTTGTCATGGGGTTAGCAGAGTTGGGTTTCTAACCCTTAGGATTCAGGGCTAAGTTAGGGGCTTAAGGTTCGCAAAAGGATGTATGCTTTAGGGTTCAGGGCAGTTTTGTATCAGGTTTCGGTACAGTACCTCAAGTTCATTTGAGTTCTTCCGGTTTGTGGATTTTGGGGGGCCTAGATGCTGTGTGTATATCTGTCTCTCTGTGTGTGTACACTTCTGATTGCAAAGGATAAAGTAAACAAAAATTGCAGGGGGGCACAGGGTGCCTGTCAGGCTGTGCCCAACGAAGCGCCTGACAGGTTACCAGGATATAGTTCTGGGACGCCAGAACTACGTACCGGCAACACCACAATGCTTGTGACGCAGTGATAGTGCATGTCGCGAGGGCCATTGGCTCCCATTGGATGCAAGCATGTGCCTTCGGCAATTCGTCTTCTCAACAAGTCAATTCGAGCCTTCTGTGTAGCTATGTCTTCATGATGCAACCAGAACTCGGATGCTGTAAAGTCACTAAATCTTGACGACTCCTTCGAAAGAGGGTGCGGACCGGTGTGTGTGTGTGTGTGTGTTTAATGTTGTCGTTGAGTTTGAGCGGTTCGCCTCAGACTCCTTAGATTGCATGTACAGATACCGGCATAAGCTTTGGAAACCGGGGTTGCCCCGAGTTGAGGCGTAGCTTCTCTAGCATGGGTCCTTGACCATGATCATAAGGCGTTTAGGTTGGGATCCCCGTGATACTAACAGTCTTGAATCGGGATTATGGTACCTCCTATGATATTCCCTATGAAGGACTGTTAGTTTAAGGGGGAACATCCCCACTTGTAGGGCTTTAGGGAATTTAGGGCGATGCAAACCACATGTGATGTGCTTGTAACATCTGACCGTGAGCACTTCCAGCTCCATGCGTCACTTCGCGAGCGCTTGCGGCCCTAAAACAAGTCCCGAAAACTTCCAGCCCCAAAATGCAAACGTCCGAAAAGCGGCGGACCCACAACCTCTAAACTTACTGGCCTCTCACTCGGGAGTTTCAGGACCTTAGGTGCGGAGATGTGGGGTTCGGTCTAGGAACCCTGAATTCGAGGATTGCGGCCTCGTGCAACATCGTGCGCCCGGTTTTCGGGAAAAGCTCCGCAGCATCGCAGCGGGTGAAGTAAGTCGCTTGGGCTTGGAGGGTGTTGGGCTGGCCAAGGGGTTTGGGGCCTGCTGAGTTCTAGGGCGTTTTGAGAGAGGCTTGGTGTAGAGCTCGAAAGGGTCCCTGTCCCCGATTTTTGGGGCCCGTGGTGCATACTAGACATAAGGCTGTTTGGCTTGGGAGTTGAGTATGCAAGTTTGGGCTCGGGATCAGGGCTGACAAACAGGCGTGCCAACCTAGGATTCAGGTGTTTAGCCTGCGTCGGGTTTAGTGTTTAGGGTTTAGGGTTTACGTAGTATGAGTGTATGAGTCTGAGTGTATCAGAGCCAAAGCCTTCCTACCCTACCTAATCTCCGACCCTCCCTAATCGGAACCACACATGAACCTCCAAGAAGGATTTGGCAGCTGGCACATTTCCATAGGAGGTGCGTGTTCTGTGCATCTCAGGTCCTCAGATGATGGAAGAAGGTGCCTTCAGTTCAAGCAAGTATTTCCCTTTGCGCCTCAAGGGAGAAGTGCGGCTCAAAACCCTTTCTTCTTGCGCCGAATGAGCGGGCCTTTGCGTGCATGTCTATAGAGGGTTCGGAGCTTTTCGGGACTTCGTGTTTGGGAAGGATGTATTGCAGTACGGTGCTATAGGAGCACTGCTTTGTTCTACGAGGCCACGCTCCCAAAAAAGAACAACTCCCAAGTCCATCTTCTGCGATTGTGTTTGGAGACCCCCTCAAACCCTGAAGAATTCAGCCCTTGCAGCCCTATAAGACCTTGAACTCTACACTCTGAAGCCTTTCCTGGGATCTCCCAGGCTACGACCTCCATGATCCCAATGCTGTGGAACGTGCCCACTTCGACTTCCGCCAGGAGGGGAGGGGTGTAGCGCTTGGGGTTTCGACATCAAGGGCTCAGGTGCTCAAGGGGAAGTTATTGGTCCGAAAGCCTTCAGTGTTTGCATGCATTTGCAAGCCCGCAGCGAAAGCTAGACAAGGACTCCGGCACCCTACTGATAAAGCACTCCCATAACACCCGAAAAGAACTCGACTGTATTAGAAAAGGAAGCCGTTAGCCGCAGGTCCTACGCATCATGACGCAGATTCGCCAGATTGAAGTCGAGCTTATCGGGGACGTCTTCGCCGCCACCGACGCCGACGAGACGAATGGCCTCAGTGTGGAGGCTGCCAAGGGTCCTTTGAGGAGCAGTTTAAGGTGATTTTCCACTTGGTTCTGGGGCTCAGGATTTAGTGTTTTTTAGGGGTTTAGGGTTGGTGTCGAGGTCCAGCACGAGGAAGTTCTCATGGCAGCCCGAAAAGCTATGGGCTTCCGGTCCCAGGGGGAAGATTGGCATAGTGGCATTTCATCTCCGGGCCCTAAGGAAACAGATAAAACCTCCCGTTAAAATGCAGAAGAACATGTAGACTGTTGATGAATCCCAAAGCCTTTGACGCAGGAGTGCATGGACTGCCTAGCTGCATGCGGCATCGAGCCCACGACCAAGCAGATGCAACCCACCGGAAGGTTGTCATTGAAGCACCGTCGCACGGGGGTTGGGTCCGGCTTGCCAGGCCTTGTGGCGCGCCAATCTCCAAACTCTGCCGCAGAGCCTCCAAGACCTGGAACCTCAAACGCCGAAGCAGTCAAGGAAGTTGCTCAGTTCTAGGCCCATGAGACCTGTATATCGGATCACAGGCCAGCTTCAGGCCCGAACCACCTCAAACCTCGCAAGCCAAGGCAAGATCTCATCCCCAGGTTGGTCGAAGAGTTCGACGAAGACGGCTTCCAGCCAAAACTTGGGAGAAAGAGGTGTCCGATAAGAAAATCCCCTCTCCAAAGCCAAGTTGTTTAAGCCCCCCGCCCAAAATGAAGTGCATATGTTAGTGGTGATTTGAGATCTGAGTCTGAAATGCTGTGATGTTGAGGTGAAAAAGCACTGGAACAGAGACCTACCGTGCCTTGCACAGTCGAAAAGCCCCGAAAGCCTTCCCAAAATCCGAAATCCCAGCTGCTTCTCTCCCTCCCCGCGAGCAACATGCAGTTGTACGACAAAATCATGGATGGGTCCAAGGGCCACACTACGTACACTCAGACCCCAAGACAGTCAAACACCCACTCGAAGATCTGGGGTTCAAGCGCTGGGGCTTGGGCGATGCTGTAAGCTATAGGGCCTTAGGGTTGAGTTTTGAGGTTCAGAGCTTATTTGGCTTGGGGGATGACGTTCGCCGGCGTGATTTGTTGTTTTCTACAGTATCCATAGGTTCGCACCACTGAAAGTTGTGAGGTTTTTGAGGTCGCACATTCTGGCCCTGCTCTGAGCCCCGAAGTGATGGGACAGACCGTGAACTGAGGTGACAGATATGCCGCGATTGCATCCCTGCAGTGCACGGCCCAACAAAAAAAGCAGATGAAGGGATGGACAGCCCCAAATGCAAAATCCTTGCAAACCCAACCCCTGAACGGAACGGTGGCTGACACTAAGTCTCTGATTTGTGAGTAACTAAGGCCACTAGCGCTGTCCCATTCATAAAACCAACACGACCCTTTACAGCCGCAAACAGTGTGTCCCGACAACGTAGCTCAACTTGGGTTTGGGAATTTTTTGTTGGAAGCCCTGACCACACAAGGCTCCGGGGAGCTCGATCTTGAAGAGTACCTCGAGTTTGCGAAGTTTGTGGCCGACCGCATCCGCAAGATGCAGCATGTGGGCTACATGGATGAGGCTCAGCGCGTGCCCTGGCGACCTTTGAGAAGTTCAAGCCTTTACTGACACTGTACTGTACTTGTAGTCAGAGACCCGCAAGCGTCAACAAGGCCTGGCCAAGGTTGATGTGTGGTCTTCGTCCAGCGCTCCCAAGATAAAGTCAATACAAGAAAGTCGAATCATCGAAGCCCTAAATCCCAGGCCCGCCTTGAATCCAGAATTGGAGATGATCAGGATCGAAATCATTGGGTTCCTCTTCTAGAACATACTCTGTAACTTATAGTCCACAAGCCTTTGTGAATCCAGATGCCCCTAGTTGGTATGGCTTTCTGCTGAGTTCCCTGCTGAGGGGTGCTACAAGCGGACCCATTTGGGAGCTGGGACCTAAACCAGACCCTGGGTGGCCACTAAGATACTAAAATCCTAACCCACAACCCTGAATCCTTAGCCCTCAACCCTCAAACCCCCAAACCTCTACCCCCCAAACCCTGTCACGCCTCTGAGATGGGTTACGGCGAGGAGGAGTACATGCGGTCCGTGTCCTGGAATCGGGGGAGCTTCCTCAGTTGCCATGGGGCTTGGGAAAGCTTGACGGTTCAGGGCTTAGGGCTTATGCTGGCCATTTTTCGCTTTATTTCCGGTTTTTGGGGCAGTTGGAGGTCTCACGCTGCGCTGGGCAGAGGCAGCTTGCATTGACGTGGCAAAAGCAAAAAAAAAACAAACCAAGGAGTCCGCAGGCTTGGGCTGCTTTCGAGCCCTCCATGAAACCCCAAAGCCTCAACCCTGAATCCTAGACCCTGCACCCTAAACCCTGAAGCTGAAAAAGCCTAAGCCCCCTGAATCCTAAACCCTAAACCCTAAACCAACCCTAAACCCTAAACCCGAATTCAACAGGCTCTGGGATGCCTTCGTAGCAGCGGATGAGAACATGGAGCCTTGGAGGGTTCTGTGGGTTTCGTGGCTTTGCGGCGACTTGTGGGGCTTAGGGCAAGTGCTTTTTCGGGTTTAGAGCATAAATAAATGAATAAACAAATAAATGAAAACATAATATATATATATATATATATATGTATGCGTGTACGTTTTTTTTGTTGGGGGGGGGGGAAGGCGGTTGGGGAATGGGTTTTGGGTAAAGGGGCATGTTGTGGGGTTCAGGAATTGTTGGGCTTTGGGGGTTGGAACTTCCTTTGTCCGAATGTCGGCTGAGAATCTTCTGAGCATGGCTGGCCTCAGTGTTCTCGGCTGCCCGAGTTCCCACCCAGCGGCCTACTTAGCCTCCAACCCGAAACCCTAAACCCTTCACAACCTGAATTCAGCAGGATTCCCACCTCGAAGAGGAAGAACTCCTGGCGCCCTGGCCTGACAAGCTCTTAAGCCCCAAACCCTGAGCCATTCTCTGCTTTGGGGGGAAATCCCAGGGCCGGTTGTAGAAGTATGTAATCGTGGAGGGTGTCGGTGGCATCAGGTTCGTGGGTTAGGGCTTGGGATGTACAGGCCTTTCACCATTCAGTTAATGCTCAGTACAGAAGTGTATGATACGATACTTCCCTGTTGCATGCCCCTTCATCACTCAGTGTACACAGTGTTTCAACTCATACTGCTATTTGACATTGTGCCGAGCGAGTGACTGCTGCGCGTCCGACGCTTGGCGGTTGCTTCATAGCCCTCGGTGGTGCATGGGAGTCTGGCTTGCCTTCAGTCCAGTAGCAAAAAGGGCTTGGGAGACAATCGGTTAGTAGGAGGAGGTTCGAGATTCAGGGTCCCTTGAATTAGAGGACGCGTGTGCGCGGGGGGAAGAGGGGGGCGGGCGGGGGCATTGCACCTGTGGCGATACTCGGATGTGCTGCACGAGGGCTTAGATCCAGATTGCGTCGGGCCGTTCAGCACATAATCTCAAGTCCGATTTGGGCTGCAAAAGAACCGCAAGAAGTCAGGGACTACGAAGGGACTTGTCATTTCGGAGGTGTCTGGGCTGTGGGTTGGATCGGTTAACTGGTATGCTGAACTATAATTAGTTGAATGCCGGCATGCCCCAGCTTCGAGAAAACATCTTTCGCAGAAACAAGCAAGGCTTAACTTGAGAAGTCGGGACCGAGATATAATAACATTACAAACTCGTAACAATATAACTATGGAAATATAGTAAATATACAAAATAAAGAAACAATGCTTAATATAACTCAAGAAGCTCGAGGTTGCCGTGCAACAAGCTCGACCAGAGGCTTTTCGGAACGCATTCGGGGGGTGTCTCACGGGTGGGGTTTAGGGTTCAGGGTTCAGGGTTTAGGGTTTAGGGAGGATGCCCCAAACTCATGTGAAGAGAAGTCGCGATTTCGGGCGACGTGTGTTTCTTCATCTAGCCAGCAGTCAGTCGAAGATAGTCGAAGGTATTCCGGGCAAGTTGTTGCATTTGGTGAGACCTGAAAATTCTGAGGAGTCAATGTTGAATTCTTACTTCAGAATTAAGCCCCAGGGCCGAATATTGTTAAGCCTTACATAATCCTCAGCCGCCTCAAGCCGCAGTTCAGTCTCGGTCAGGCCGAAATCAACTCCAGCGACATCCGTGCCATACTGAAGGATCAAGGCATCGGATACTGGAAGCAGGCGGGTGTATCTTCGGATATGTTCAGCTGGCTCATGGCCTCAACCGGGCAGCTTCACACGCCCTGCGCTCCCTCTGCTCTTCGTAATTTGAGGGCTTTGTGCAGCTACAGGGTGTTTTTTATACTTGAGGAAGCTCGTCATTAACTCTTTCTGGGAACAGTTGTGTGGGTACCGGGTCTCAAATCCCTTGATATAGCTACCTGTATTTCGTAGTTGAGCCCAGAACCTGGAGGTGCAGTAAGTTTTGCTGCCCAACGCTCACAGGAAGTGAAGATGACCATGCATGACTTCTTGACGATCATGAAGGACACTGCGCTGCAGTGGCTAGGTGCGGTGTGTGTGTGTGTGTGGCGTGTAGGGCAGCACATGGAATATGAACTGATACCATGCTCCATGGATTGGCTGTGCTTCTCGCACGAGGGCGCCTTGCGCAACGTGATGCTTCGATAGTCCGAGATCGATGCCTCAATGGCAAGAAGTGGACGTGGCCACAAAGCCACCACAACTCTGGGAACTCCGCGTCCTCTAAGCTATTTAGTAAACCCTGATTTGGGCTCAAGCCGTTGGCCGCGCATCTTAGAAGTCTTAGATTTCGTGAGGCTTTACGGGCAAGATTCCCGGACCTCGTTGTTGCGGCCTACGCCATGGGGAACGCGCAGTGCTGCCATTCCTCCGACACCAGCCCAGATGCTGCTGCCGAAGCCATGCCGGCCATGGAGTCCTGGCCAGCCAACCTTGGCAAGTCAGCGCTCGATGTGCCCACCGTGTCCGGCGGCAACACAGCACAGGAACGCACCTACAAAGTCGTCCTGGAGAAGAAAGAAGGCCAGAAGTTGGGTCTTGATGTGGACTACATGGCAGAGCGCAGTGTGCTTCCAATCTTGGTCGTCTCTGGTGGGATCGCCGAGATGTGGAACAAGCAGCACCCTGAGAGGAAGATGAACACAGGCGACAGCATCACGGAAGTCAACGGCATGAAGGGCAATGTCAAGCTTATGCTTGAGAAATGCAAGGCAGACCAAACCCTGGAGATGACCGTCGTCCGATGTCTAACCTATGGACATTTGGTAGCTGACTTGGAAAAGTTGATGCTCGTGAAGGGTTGCGGCCCGATCATGATCCGCTTATCCTGGCACGATGCCGGTGTTCACAATGGTGTGGACGGCTGCCCGAATGCCGCAATGCGACTTGCTGGTGGGGGCGAACATGCCTTCGGGGCAAACGCTGGATTGCCACAAGTAGCCATCCCGCTTCTTCAGGCCATCAGTGACAAGTACGTGCCGCAGCTCATCTCCCATTCAGACCTCTGGGCGCTTGCAGCGAATGTGGCCATCAAGGTCATGGGAGGACCTGACATCGTCACGCACTTCGGCCGCATCGATGCTCAGTCTCCCGCTCAGGGGGCGAACTCTGCTGCGGGGCGACTTCCGGATGGTGACAAAGACGCCCAGCACCTTCGTGACATTTTCCGGCCCAAGGGCTTCACTGACAAGGACATCGTTGCACTGTCCGGTGCACACACGGTTGGGGCCTGCCATGCGGAGCGTTCTGGCTTTGAAGGGCCTTGGACATCTGACAAGCTGAAATTCGACAACACCTATTTCCGGGATCTGCTGAACAAGACCTGGACGATGGAGACCGTCAAGTCGGGAAACAAGCAGTACCGGTCGGGCAAGGAGATGATGCTGACAACCGACATGGCCCTTGTTGAAGATCCGGCGTTCAAGGAGCATACCCTCAAGTATGCCTCAAACCAGGGCGCCTGAGAGTGGTCGAGCAGTATATCCTTTAGCCTTCTTTAAGGGGTATAGCCGCATAGCCTATAATCACCATGCACTTCCAAGAAAGTGCTCTCAAATTCATGTAGGGTGCATAGGAACCCCGGACCAGCAAGGTGCCTTCTTTGACGATTTCAAGGAGGCCTGGATAAAGCTACAGGAGCTTGGGTGCGGTCAGTTGCGGGACATCCTCTGAGGCTATGAAGGGACACTTTTGAAGTTCACGCCCTCGTGTGCTGGCAGCCCTCCATGGCAAAAGGCATGGTAGCTCTGCCCTTTCCTTCATGTGGCCGGATGTTGAGAGCCAGAGCCGTCACAACACCGTCAAAACCTCCATGCCCTCCCCCCACTCATCCCCTCTCCCTTGCATCCTGGTTTGTTGAACAACGGACGGCTCAATGGCTTATGTATGTGGGCGATCTCTAGTTGCAATGATTAGTCGAGCGCTTCAGCTGTGCCGTTTTCGGGTCGCGAGTTCTGAAAGCCCGTTGATGCCAGCTGAAGCTCCGGCAAAATGGAAATCCGCATGTTCCTGGAGCTGTTCAGCAGAGGCTACACATACTAGTTGCTAGTTGCTAGTTGATTCCTATACTACTCGACCATCGGAAGGCGGATCTCATCAACGAAGGAGGCCTCAAAGGGCTTGCCTTCCAGAGCTTCTTTTTTAATCACACGGTGCCTTGCGGCATGGCTCAATGCGTGTCATGCATGCGATTCCTCAGAAGGCTTCTTGACCATGGACCCGTGAAGGATCCATCGATTCTGTGGCGCAGAACCAGCATTGACATCATAGCCATGAGTAGGGTTTAGGGTTTGGATTCTGCCTTTCGTATACAGCGCCCCACAAGCTCTCTCTCACACCTCCTCTTTGTTGTCCACTTTGCACTGCCTCGTCGTCAAGAAAAGGCCGCAGCTTAGGGCAGGGCGCTTTGTGCTCGTGGCAAGTTGATTCCGCAACGCGAGCAGCTCGCGTTTCTTGTTCCGACCCTATGGCTTCCCAGATACGGGCCTGATTGAAAGCCACTCGGGCTGATCTAAAATGTCGAATAGGTCTACTGCTTGGCCGAACTCGCGCTTTCCAAGCGCCTAAATTCGCTCAGGATGTGGATCAGCTGCAGGCCTGGAGGATCATGGGGGCCGACAAGGGTGTGGAACCTCGGCTCAAAGTGGCAGAGTGTCGGTGTGCGCGTGCGATATATACGTATATATTATGCATAATATATCTATATATATCTATATATATATATATATATATATGAAAATATATGTGTGTGTGTACGCGTGTGAGGAAGCCTTTAAGCAAGATATAGGTTCGTCTGAGAGCCTTCTGTATTCTGTTTAGTAACAGACTTTGTAGTACGGGGGACTCCGGAGCCTGACAAGAGTATACTCCCGCAGCCATGAGGGCTTAAAGCCTTTAAGCTCCACCCTGAAGCTCGAAGTCCCTAACTCGCCCTAATTTAAGGCCGCAGAATTCTAAACAGGCCTAAACACCTCAAGCCCCTCAAGCCCCTCCAGAGCCGACATGCGAGGAGAAGGATGCCGTGGAAGGCTTCATGGCCAAATTCAGCATCAGCCCGGTTCTACGGAGGTTTGGGATTTTGATGTTTTGGGTGCTTTGCCGTCACTTGCCTGCGCGTGGGTCGTGTATTCATTGTGGTCTTCAAGAAGGTTTTGCGCTTTCTGCACTCCCCGACTATGATCTGTATTCTTTATCTGTGTTCCTGGGTGTTGCCGACGATCTCGGTTCACTCCTGGGGCTCCGGGACTTATGTGGAGCTGAAAGGGCATTGCAAGGTTGAACGGCAACCCTGAGCCCTCGCCCGCCCCCAGTTGGGGCGATGATGCATCGACCGAGGATTCATTGGGGTGTGGAGGATGCTCACCAAGAATCCCAAGGCCCAGCTGCACACATTCACTATAGGGCGCGGAATAAATACTTATACAATTTTCCCTTGAGGGTGTACACCCTGAAGAGAGAAGCCCTCGAACTTCTGATAGAGAAGCGACATCTACCCCCCAGGTCAGGACATTGTGTCCTCTCGCTTTAAGGCGCATAGAACCCAGCAAGAATATCAAGAGCAAGAACACAAGAATCGCAGCAAGAACGAGCAAGAAGCTCCAACCTCGAGCCCGAGACCATTGTGCATAGCCCGATTCCTCTTGGCCCCTAAGTCACTCCTCAGAGGCCCCCAAGAGCCCAAGCGCCCGAACTTTAGGGTTTGGGGTTGTGGGTTTGGGTTCATATGGTTTGTACGGGGTCTATAGTGTTTCTAGGGCCTAGGGTTTTTGGGTTCATAGGCTTTGTAAGGTTTGTCGTGTTTGGGGTTTAGTGAAACCCCATGGGACGTTTCTTGGCCCAGCCGCTGTTGAACAGGAGGATTCCGTCTCGCCGAAGGAGCTGGGTAGGGCCACTTGGGTGGGTTTGGCTCACGGTTTCCGCCTTCGCTCTCCTAGGACTTCCATGAACCCCGCCCCTCAGCATGTTCGCCCTTATACTAACAGTCCCTAATTGGGATTATAATGGGGGGGTTACTATAATCCCTATGAAGGATTGTGAGTATAAGAGGTAACCGGGTAACATCCCAACCCGCCCCGTGCTTTTTGAGAGTGTGGATTTCTGATTTTGGACCAGGAGGTTGAGCATGTTTGCAAATGACGGCCAATACGTACCAGGCTACAGATTGATACGGACTTCGCATGACAATGGGAACATCGGAAGCCAACATATTGCAGAAGCAAGTCGCAGCCATGAGCCATTCTCCCAGGCTGTGAAGGCTTTGCCTGGCCTCTTGGGCAGCAATAAGAGGTCGGGAATTTGGAGCGCGCTGCGTTACAGCATACAAGGGTGCCCTGAAACTCAAAACCCGGCACTCTACAACCCTAAACCCTAAACCCTAGATGATGGGTCCCTCATTGGCTTCCCTGTTATCAGACGGCCTGGCGAGCAATCCCTTTTCATTGAACACAGCGGGAGCTTAGAGTCCAGCCAGGGTGTGGACGAGAGTGACTCGAAAGCCAACACAAGGAACGGCAGCCCAAAAGCGTTTTCGTCTACGGGCTTTCCCAAGAAAATCCCGAAAGGCACAATCCTGAAGCCTGCAGGAATGGCGCCTGAAGGTATCCCGAAAGACCTCCCAGGTTGGACCTCGAACCCTGCAAAAAACCCTAAACACTAAACGCAATCTTAACGCCGTTCCGTTACAGTTGCCCCGCGGATCTTGGCTAGACGGGTGGCAAAACAATCTCATGTAAACCCCTAAACCCCAAACCCTCCTTAGCCCTCTTGGCGAAGCTCAGGTGCGCAGATCAAGATCGCGAGGATCCGCTACCTTCAGCAGATTGGATTCGAGTCGCCCGGGGCTCAGTCCTATCTACTACGCGGGCTTCGTAGGATGACAAGGGCCATCCCCTCCCCAAAGGGTGGACCCCCGACACCCTCAACCCTAAACCCTACACCGTTTCAGCTGGGGCGAGCCAGGTTGTGCATCAGACTCTTTCGGCCTGTAGCGTTTGAAGATGGATGGTGCCAGACCACGGGTTGCTTAACAAGCCATCAGGTGGTCTGAAGGGCCCGATCTGGAGAGGAGAGCTCCCCACATGTCGCCCTCGGGAGTGTGTGTGGGCTTTTCGTGATTTGGGGTGTATGGTCACTTGGGGGGTCGGGGGAGCCTCGGGGCCCTTTTTGCGAACCATGTGAATCACGAAACCACGACTGTTCCCTGCGGAGTGATCCCAGAGGGGGTCTGCTAGGCGAGTGGCAAAAAAAAACAACCCTCAACCCGAAACCCTATCTCCAAACCCACCCCCCGGTGCTGAGGATCGACTTCAGCAACTTCCTTCAGGTCATGCGCAAGAATGGGTCTGAGCTCGGTGACGGCACCTTGGAAGCCTTGGCTTCTTAAGTGTACGTGGGTATAGGATGGTGTAGGGTTTAGGGTTCAGGTGGAGATTCGGTTCACCGGGCCTGCCCTACAAAGCATCGCCGTGAAGAGCACTGCTCGCTCATTGCACCTTACGCCCGGCCTTGTTCCGACCCTGACATGCACAGCATCTCCTCATACGCCAGGTCGCCCGCTGAATGATGATTTAAGCTTTTGCCATGCTCTGCATTGTTGCTGGCTTGCATTGCAAAACATGGGAAAGCCATGGGAGGGGATGGCTTGACCACACTCCTTGCTGCCTGTCAGTCACATCCATCCGGGCGGGTGGTCTCCGAAGGGCCCCAATCATTGTCGTTTGCTGAACACTTCTAAAGTGAGCCTGTAAACCATCTAGTTCGGGTACTGGAGACACTTGAGATCCTGGCGATAAAAAATCCTCCAACCCAAGCCCTGCAATGTGCTGAGTGTCAGCTAGGCGGGCAAAAAAGATTCACTGAAAGAAAACCCTCGGCACCTAAAGTCCCCCGTGAAACCCCCGCCCCCCCCCCCCCCCCCCCTTCACTCCTCCCCCCCTCAAAAAAATTAGAAAACCACCTGAACCTCCCCCCAAACCTTCCCCCCCAAAAAAAATATACAAGAATTAAAAGAAAAAACGCAAAAGGTACTGAGCTTCTCCAGCTCGGTGTCGACCCCGAGCTGCTCAGCCCGCCCCGGGGCTGCCAGAGGAGGGCTGAGCTTAGGGCTTGTAAAGGGCTTTTAAGGGTTGTTGAAGGTTGTAAGGGTTTGTTTGTGAGGGTTTGCCGGGCTTTCAAGGTTTTTAATGGTTTCCCATGGTTTTTCAATGTTTACAAGGTGGGTTTTAAGGCTGTTAAGCGCTTGAAGGGGCGCATTCAAGGAGGTCCAGGGTCTGGGGTACCCTGACGCCCCCAAAACTGTGCAAGCCCCCCGCCCCTGAGCGGTGCACCGCGAGGTTGCAGACCCCAAGTGATGGCGGCGCATTCATGTCCCTGGCCTGTCCTTGCAGCTTTTGAATGTCTTCTTTTTGGGAGCGGGGCTTGGGGAGGCTTGAGGATATTTAGAGGATTTCTAGGTCTTCGGTTTCCTGAAAGGGCTCTGAACTAAGGCACCAAGGGCCCTTAGGGCCTTTAGGGTCGATACGGGGTATATTCCGGGTAAATGTAAAGGTCTCCCCAACTCTTGGGGTTCATACGCAGGCTCCTTGTAACTCCCCTCCCCATATATATATATATATATACATCTAAGGGTCAATTCGCCTCCTTTCAGGAGCCTCTTCCAAAAGCATTTGGGAGTTTGGGGTTCAGGAGGGTTTAGGTCGATTGCACAAGCCCAGATGCAAAAAAGGGCCTCCGGCATAATGAGGCCCGGATGCGAAAAGGTTTTGGGGTATAAGGTAAGGTTTTCAAATCTTCAAGAACAGCATCTTTGTTCTCCGGGCAGTCCCGGTTAAGAGCTTTGTGAAGACCTCCAGCCCGGATGCCAAAAAACGGAGCTTGGTGAACAGATGCCCCTACAGGGGCTTGAGCCGCCTGTAGTGCACCAAGCCAGCGGAGACCTTTGCGCGAGCGCGAGAGTCGCCCGCCCCCCCCCCCCCCCCCCCCCTCGCCCAAAACAGCAAAGGTCAAAGGTTATCGCGAAATTCGTGCCTTCTAATGAATGAGATGTATCTTCGGGAATGTGTCTTGGTGATTGAGAGATGTAGAGATGTGAGTGTGAGAGGTGAAATGCAAAACGTGCTGAGTGGCCGTAGCGAATTGCCAAAGCCTCACCTTCACAATCTCTCAATCTCCCAGCGTGCGCGTGGTGCATTCGTGGCGTATTTGAGAGATTCACGAGTCACAAGATGGGAAGTGTCAAAACCTGACCTCTGGAGGAGAGACTTGCAATCGTTGCAGTGTATATTGAGCATCTTTGAGCTGTTGAACGTTATCTCTATGATGTAGCGCTGTGAGTAGCAGTCGCATGTCGCAGGCAGGCGCCATCTCAAGATTGCCTGCCCCAATTTCGGAGAAGCTTCATGTGCCCAACCTTGCAGATTCAACAGGAAAGTCTTTCCTAGTTCGACCGAACTCAACATAAGGCCTACTTGGTAGCCCAGTGGTACACTTTTCCTTTTTTGGTTCAAGTTTCCCTTACAAAGTAACCAACCCACAAAAAGGGTGCCCTGATTGCAGTATGGTTACTCGGCTACCAAGAAAATGAGTTGGTATGTTCCCCCTCATGTTGTGGGGGGTACTCTAATCCCGTTAGTTAGAATAAGGGAAACGTCTCCAAAAATGAGGCCTCTCGCTCAGCCTCATTTGCCTTTTGTGGCCGAGGTTGTCGCCTTCGGCGCAGAGCCCGGGCAGCGGTATGTGCCTGGACGAGTGTGGTTAGCTTCCACCCTCACTAGAGTCTGCACATTATCATTCTTAGACTTTGCCAACTATTCCAATGATACCAATGATTCGAGTTATTCCAATTCTACGCAATTATGCTGTTGTATACCATCATGTGATTTTGTACCTGTACTATATTCGACGATGATCCTCCTGGGGAGCACTCTGCTGATCCCAGGTTCGCTCAAATCAGCCCTCGTCCTGGGATGCTGGCGATGAAACGAGGCAAAGCTGGGCATGCGGAGGGTTTAGTTTAGGGGTTTAGGGGTTTAGGAGTGGAGGGTTTAGGGCCAGGGCAGTCGATACGACGCCTGGATGCAGAAAAGGGTTTCGGGGTGGAGGGTCCAGGGATTCTGAATGATTCTGGGAGGTGCTGTTCTGAATTTGGGGCTGCTAGTGCAGCAGTGCAGGATATGGAGTGGTCTCAGAGAATCCGCTTGGACGGGGTGCAGCCGTGGTTTCTATTTTGCACGCACGTAGCTGACATCCTCGAATTAACTGCAGGTCCAACAAGGTTCCGCATGTTCCGGCCACGAGCCACGACTGTGTTGATGAAAGCACTTGCTCTGGCATGACCTGACCTGAACCCAAAGGCCCAAACGCTTCGTGGCCACATGCCGCAATCCCAAAACACTTGCAGACCCACAGCAAAACATAACTTTGGGCCACTAGACCCGGACCTGTGATCGGCCCCTTTGCAGATTGCAATAAGGGTTTTCCTGTGAAGGAGAAGGAGCAACCTTCTGAAGCCATGCCAAGCCACAAAAGCTCTGAACCTCAACCCAGGGTTTGCGCCGTGAATCCTACACCCGCGCCTTCCAAAGGAACGAACGTCAGAACCTTTGTGGTTCATGGGCCGCACACTGGTGGATTTTGCGATCTGGGACCCTTAATGGGAGAAAATACATGGCGCGCAGAAGAGCCGCAAAAGCCCTGCCGCCCCCAAAAAAACCAACAAACACACGGCTCCTGCCAGGCGGCTTTGATGAGGAGCCCTAGCAGACGCTTGCGGAAAGGAGGCGTCGAAGGCGTGCGCCGGAGGATGCGAGGTGTGGGATCAGGGGGACCAAGGTTCCTCGCAAACTTTGCTTTGGTCCGAGGTGCGTTTTTTTGGGCCTATAGGGTTGAAAGTAGCACGGATGAAGAGTTCTATCAAAGGCAGAAGGTGCGAACACCTAGTCCAAAAAAGCTTTCATTGGAATTCTCTGGTTCTCTTATTCAGGGCAGGTCCAGGTAGGGGCCGCGCGGCCACTCGAAGCTGCAGCAAGCTCTTAGCCACAGAGCGGCGAAATCGCCCGGAGGTAGGCCCGTTTGTGGGACGAGAACCCTTTGAGCAGTTAAGACCCCAGCAGGCCTATAAGCCTTGAAGTTCCCAAACCCTATATACAGCGCCCATGATACTGTTTAGGGTTTATAAGGGGTTTGAAGGGTTCAGGGTGTTGAAGGGTTTAGGGCGTTTAGGGTTTTGATTGGCTCGGGATGCGAGACCCGAAGGATTGAAGCAACAGAAGCCCTAAACCCCCTTGAATAAGGATGTTCATGCCCTGGTCTCGGAGAAACACCTAGACCCCCGAACTTCTCAGGCGACTTTAGAACCCTAAACCACAGCCCCGCAAAACCCCCGAGGTGACTTAGAAGCCCTCAACGCCCCACCTCCCCTGAGTCTCTGGCAGACAGTTCTGCTTTCGTTGGGCACCAGCAAAGCCAAAGGCTTGCGATCTTGGTCCCCCCTGTGAGGTTCAGGGCTTTAGGTTAGAGGCCCTAAACACCGTCAATACACCAAATCCCGAAACCCCATATAGCTTATCATCTGTAAACTTCTGAAGCTCCATCTGGTAGGGTTTGATGCGGGCTTGATAAGGTACGCTGCTCTTGTGATTTCTGCTTTTTTCTAAACCATCACGCAGAAGAAAGCAAGTCAGTCGCGCAGATTCCGAAGCACCAAGTAAAATTTCAGACTCCCAATTGTACACAGTGCAGTCGCGCTCAGTTGCTCAGATACAGAGACAGCGCCGAGTAATTGTACCCCAAACGCTCCTACACCTGCTATGCAGTTCGCCCAGCTGTTCAGGAGGGGAAAGCACACCCCAATAACCTTGTGGTCTGCTTGGTGGGCGGCAAGAACCCCATAGACTTTGAGGGTTTCTGGTGGGGGTCCAGGTCTGGGTTGCGCGAGATGCGGAATTCCACTTAAGTGCCGACTGAAGGTCGGCGAGAAGAAGCCGCAGGCTCTGGCGCTAGATCCGCTAGATGTCAGGTTTCAACAATTGGGGTTCCGGGGCCCTTTAAAGGGTGCCGGAAGCTTCAGGGCATCAGCATAGGAACCCCGAAACGGCACATGGTATGACCCAAGTTTAATGGTTCAAAGCGGCAGGGCCAATCGAGGGCTTGATGGCAGCAACACGCTGCCCATCAAAGACCTGCATCGGAAGCCGTGGTCTCGCTCGAAAAGGTCGCTCTTAACAGTCTTAACAAGGTTTGGGGGCTTCTAAGCTAGGGGTTCATCGCGGGAACGAGAAGAGGGTGCCGAATCTCTCAGCTCCCACAAACCCTGAAGTCAGCTGTGTCTGGTCGGTGCAGGGGTATCTTTCTAGCTTGCTTCACTGCCCGTCTTGCCTTCCGCGCAAGACGTTGTGCTCGGTTGAGAGCCAATGAGCCTCACCCTGAAGCTGGATCCCTAGAAGCCCTATAGGCTTCCTCAGCCCCAAGCCTCTGATCCAAACCACCACAAAGCCCTTGAACCCTAAACCATGATCCCCCCCCTGGCATCCCAAGCACGCCCGCTTCCTCGGACTGGGGCGCCTGGGAGGAAGCCCGCGGGGGTCAGCGACCGTTTCCTGCACAACAACTTCCTGAAGGACCGTTTTTCCAGGATGAGGGATCCCAGGGCTTCGGGTTTTTTTGGCGGGATCCGGCCTGCCAAGACCCGCAGTTTTGTTTCCTTATGCACACTTCTCTTCATCCTGGAGAGCCGTAGAACACAATTTAGGCTGGTTGCCTGTCCAATCTCAAGCCCAGAGCTCAGGATCCCAACCCGTGTCAGACCAACTGCTAAACTGTGGCACTTCGCAGGCTTGCGCCCACGCCGGTGATGCCCAGCGAGCTGAGCCACCTAGCCTCATACAAGGGTATACTTTGTACATTCTACATGTATATATATAGATATATATACATATGATGCATGCGACAGACAGAAAGAGAGAGAGAGAGAGAGAGAGAGAGAGTACACCCGGGCACCGGACACCACAAGCAACCACCCCGAAACAGGGGCGGGCAAAGATGCCCGGGGCGCCGACCCCAAGCCCCTAGAAAGAAAGAAAGAAAGAGAGAGAGAGAGAGAGAGAGAGACAGACTTTCCACCCTAAGGCAGGCGTTTCAACCCTTGCTTGGGTTAGTAGAGCTTTGGGTCAGAAGGAGGGTATGTTTCGGAGCTCAAGCACGACCACGGCTCTTGGGGACTGAAATTGGGCATCAGCATGAAGGCATATACATATATATATATATAATATGTACACACACATATGTGGACATTTCATGTATATTTATAGTTGTTTATATTTATATTTATACTTGTATGTATATTTCTACTTATATATTTATATTTATATGTATATTTGTGTTTATTTAAACATATACATTGTACACACACACACACTCTTTTTGCTTATTTACATTCTTATTTTTTTCTACTATATTCATCAGAACTTGAGAGAAGCACTGGGGGGTTCAAAGCCTTGAGCATGCCCCAGAAGCCGGGAGAAGCTGCGAATGATCCGAAATGATTCCAACATCTCCTCACTGCACCGCCGTCGGTGGCCCTCCTTCACAAAACCCTTCAAGGCAAGGGTTCGGTCCGGTTCGGTGTTGGGTTATTATTTTTGCTTTCGAGGACCGGATCCATTCTCCATGAACCCCAAGAGGTCATAAACCCCTCAAAGCCCCCCAAAGCCTAAAGGGGCCCTGCCTGCGCTTGAAGCCCAGGCGCTGGTTCCAAGAGATGCAAGCTGCGGATGTGGAGGACATAGGGTTTGGCCCGTAGGAAGTTGTGCTGAGTAGGTAGCCTTCAATTCTTTAACCAGGAGGTTGAAACTTGCCTTCCCCTAACCTAGCTCACGGACGTAGGTAACCCTCACAGAATGCTTCAATAAGAACACCCT